TAGAGTTTGAACTGAGGGCTTGGCAGACATTCTACTGCTTGGGCCACACCTTCAGTCTATTTCACTCTAGTTATTTTATTTATTTATTTTTCTTTTATTATTCATATGTGCATACAAGGCTTGGGTCATTTCTCCCCCCTGCCCCCACCCCCTCTCTTACTCGACCTTCTTTACAACATACAGAAATTAATCCCAAATGCATCAGACTTAAATTTAAGACCCAAAACTCTCTAAGAAAACAGGCATAAATCCTCACAGCCTTAGGTTAAACTAAACCTTCTCAGACATGACACCCGGAAGTACAGCGATAAAAGAGAAAGTGAGTTGGAATTCAAAATTAATGTTCTTTGAATGCTGACACTTATGTAAAAAGTGAAAAAAATACCCATGGCTTGTGAGAAAATATTTCCAAAGATATAACTGACAAGGGCTGTGTATCTAGAGTGTATATGATATGTATGTGTATATACGTGTGTATATACATATACCTTACAGCTCACAAGGAAAAGACAATCTAATTGGAAAATAGAGACATTTCTCCAAATATATACAAATGGCCAATAATCACATAAGGATTCAACATCACTAGTAATTAGGAAAATGCAAATCAAAACTACAATGAGAATCTTTCACCCATCAGGATGGTTATAATCAAAAGCATAGATTATAAGCACTGGCAAAGATGTGGAAAATCAGTTCCCCCTCTCCATTGCTGGTAGGAATGAAAAATGGCACAGCCACTTTGGAAAACAGCTGAGCAGTTGAGTATGGAGTTACCATAGGGCCTAGCAATTCTACTCCTGGGTATAGACCAAAGAGAAATGGAAGTGTGGCTCAGGTTGCAGAGCACCTGCATAGTAAGTGCAAGGTCCCTCGTACTGCTCCCCACCAAGAAGATAAAGGCCAAAAAGCAATGAAGACATATGTTGGTAGAAAACCTTGTACATGAATGTTTATAGTACTACTCACAGTAGTTGAAAAGTAGAAATAACCCAAATGTTTATCAACTGAAGAATAAATATGCTGCTCACATACAATGGAAGGTATTCAGCAATTCAGAAATTAAATATTCATAAGTGCTAAGCGTGGATGAACCTTAAAGTCACGCTAATGGAAATAAGCCAGGAACAGAAGGCCACATATTACATGATATCATTTGTAGGAGCTGTCCAGACTGGATAAATCCAGAGACAGAACGTACATTAGTGATTAACTGAGGCTGAGGGAAAGGTTGGGGAGGGGGCCTCCAAAGATAATTTAGAAGTGGGATCTGGGTCTTGGGCACATACTTCAATCTTACAAGACACCAAATTGTTTTCCAGAATGGTTGCAGCAATTTATAGTCCCATCAGTAGCATATGAACCTTACCTATTGCTTTGGTTATCAGGATTTTAGATTTCTGCCAATTTAGGAAGGGAAAGTTGTGTTGTAGTCTTCCTTTGCATTTCTTCAATTACTAATGAGGTTGGGAGTTTTCTGTTTGAAACAGTTTCCCTGTGTATCCCAGACTGGCTTTTCGTACTAGGGCTTGAACTCAGGATTTCACAGTTGCTGAAAGGGGCTCTACCACTTGAGTCAAGTTTCCAGCCCTGGCCTTGAACTCTTGATCCTTCTGCCCCTACCTCCCAACTGCTGGGATTACAGGTGTGTACCACTATGCCTGGCAGGTCAGGAGTCTTACCTGTTCCTCACTTGGTTTCCTGAGATTCTTAAGTATATTGCCCATTTTTCTATTTGGTGGTTTGCATTTTTATCAATGAATAGTTGTTTATGAATTCTGTATATAACTACATATGTTTCAAAGCACCTCTTCTAGTTTATAACTTGTATTTTTGCTTTATTCATGATGTCTCTTGATAAAGTTATTATGGTTACATGTTTAAATTTATGAATCCTTTTAGTTTTAGTGGTAGGGTTTTTGACTTAAGAAATCCTTCCCTGCCATATCCCAGTGATACATGCATACAATCTCAGCTACTTAAGAGGCTGAAATTGGGAGGATTGTGGTTTGAAGCTAGCCCAGGCAAACAGTTCCTGAGCCTACATCTCCAAAATAATAACCAGAGCAGCTGGGAGCCGGTAACTCATAACTGTAATCCTAACTACTCAGGATATAGATCAGGAGGACCAAGGTTCAAAGCCAGCCCAAGCAACTAGTTTGTGAGACCCTATCTCGAAAAATACCCAACCCAAAAAAGGGTTGGCAGAGTGGCTCAAGTGATGGAGTCCCTGCCTTGTAAGTGCAAAGCCCTGAATTCAAACCCCAGTCCCAAAAAAAAAAAAGCTTCCCTAATCCCAAGGTTATGAAAATATCTTGCTACGTTTTCTTCTAAAAGTTTTAAAGTTTTTCCATGTACGTGTATCTATACATGATTGACTTACGAATGTATTTAAGTAGATACCTAGTTGTGTCAGAACTGTTTAGTCACTAATCTATTCTTTCCCTGGTAATCAAAGCCCCCTATGAGGGCCTAGATGTAGCTCAGTGGTAGAACATTTGCCTAGCATGTGCAAGGCCCTGAGTTCCATTCCCAGCACAGGAAAAAAAAAAAAAACCCTATAGAGACTAGTGCTATCCATTTATATAAAGACACTTTGCATGGTATTTTAATGACAGATATTAGATGTATACACACATATATTTTGTGAACTTTGCATTTATATATAGACATCTTATAAACTACAACAATGTGTGCTAGGCCAAGTCCTCTGCTTGTTTTTCTTCAAGAGTGTCTTAGCTAGCCAGTTGGCAGTGGCTCATGCCTGAAACCCCAGCTACTCAGTAAGTAGCAATCAGGAGGATCACTGGGCAAACAGTTTGCAAAACCCTATCTTGAAAAAACCCATCACAAAAAAGGGCTGGTGGAGTGGGTTCAAAGTGTAGGCCCTGAGTTCAAACCCTAGTACTTTAAAAAAAAAAAAAAAGTCTTGGCTATTACTGGTCTTTCATCTTTTCATATAAAGTTTAGAATCACTCCATGAATATCAAATTGTTTTGGGATATTTTGAGTGGGGATTTATTAGATCCATAAATAAAATTTGGGAACTTTTAATTTTTAAAACATTATATTCCTATCAATGGCTGATACATATCTATGAATTTAAGTATTTTTAAATGAATACTTTTCCCATTGCCCTCTTGGCACAGTGGCCAGTGAGTGCATCAATCTCATAAATGTTTTCCCCTAGAAGTTTTATATAGCTTCTGTCACCTTTATTCTTTAGGACTTTATTCTTATCACTATTATAAGAGTTTCTTTTTAAAGTACTATTTTTTGAGACTATATAAAAATACAATTGATTGGACCTATCTTTCTAATATTATTGAACCTAATTTTCTTAGCTCTGATAGTTTATAGTTTTGGGGGGGGTTGTTTTGTCTTTTTTTGGGGTTTTTTTTTGGGGGGGGTTTGCTTTCAATGTAACAATCTGATTAGTGAGTTTTTGCTTGCTTCCCAATCCTCAGACATTATTTCTTTTTCTTATCATACTGCAATGGCTAAGACCTCTACTATAATGTTGGGTAGATGAGACAGTGTGAAAACTTGGCTTGCTCCTAGTTTTAATGTTTTGCTATTAAAAGCAATTTCTGCTCTAGGTTTTGGTAAATGTCCATTATCTAAGTTAGGAAAGTTGCCTTTCCTAACTAAGAAGTTTAAATCATGAGTGGGTGTTAACTTTTCAGTACATTTCCAACGTTGAAATGAGATCACTGAGCCACAGTGATCTTGTCCATCATCTCCTACCACTTCACCCTCCCTAAGCCCACATTAGCATGTGTGCCTTCTCCAGTTCAAGTCACCCTCCCCAATCACTCACTTCTCCAATGGGAGTCAGGGTCACTTGGGCTGCAGTCGTAGAGTCTGCGGACCCGGGTGATATCCGAAGCACTCAGGTTCCATCGCTGGCCAATATGAACACTGGGGGCCCAGAGAGGTATGATGGTGGGCTGCCCACGCCAGCTGAAGGCAAGCCTGGAAGCCAGAGGCAGGGTCTGCCTCAGGATCACAGCAGGGGTTGGGAGGGCAGTGAAGGGGAAGGGAAGGAGGGAAAGGGTGCTCACCTCCCATAGTGCATCACTGATGAGTAGTCATAAGGGGCCAGCATATTGCTGCTCCGAGACTTGATGAAGTTAATTTCAAAGCCTTAAAACACACACACTTGAGATGTTTAAAGAAAGCACGTAGACAGGCAACAGCAGGCAAGGGGGAGAGGGGAGAGTTCTGGGGATTTATAGTCCACCTAAACAAAGGAGTCTGAACCCACAGCCAAGTGTGTATCTCCCTGCATGGGTCTCTGTCCCTGCACATTTCACAAAGCCCCAGATTTGGAGCCCACTAGACCTGTTACCTTAGTTGGCTACAGCATAACTTCTCCCCTTCACTGGCTCCTGCAAGCCTGGGAAGAGCAAGGTTCCCTTCTGCCCTCCGTGGTGAGCTCCTAAGAGGGCAGCTGCTCTCTGCATCTTTGCTCCCCAGTCCCTCCAAACCCAGTCAGTCACAACTACTTCTTTCTCCTTCCCAAGGTCACCAGCAACCTCCTCACTACTTAGATCAGCATTCCAATACCATTCTGTCCCACCACCTGCCAGAAACAGCTGTCCTTAGAAAGCTCTGATTTTCCCCCTTATAAACCTTTCATCAGCCAGGCATCAGTGACTTAGACCTGTAATCCTAGGTGTAATTCTAGGTGAAGCCAAAATCAGGAGGATTGTGGTTTGCGGACAGCCTGGGCAAATAGTTTATAAGATCCCCATCTCCAAAATAACTAGAGCAAAATTGACTGGAGAGGTGTGACTCAGTGGTAAATCACCTGCTTTGCAAATGAAGCCCTGAGTTCAAATCCCAGTCCCACAAAAAAATATTAAACATAACATTGAATAGGGAAGATATTCATTTGGTTTTTAAAAAGTCATCTAGCATGTGCAAGGCCTTGGGCTCAATCCCCAGCATTGAATATAAAAAATTTATATATATTATTTATAAACGTGATACACACACACACACACACACACACACATAGACATAGTGGAAGTTTTCATGTTCCATCTCCCTTCCAGAGTTCCCACCTCTGTACCCCACCACCAGTTACTGTGATTAGTTTTATATCCTAGCAGGGTTTGTTCAATACCCAGTAATTAAATGCAAATGTATTCTCCCTTTATTAAGAGAAACCATATTTTCCCCATTAGGCTTGTTTGTTTTTTGTTTTTGTGATGTGGGGATCAAACCCAGGGCCCCACGCATGCTAAGCAAGTGCTCAACCACTAAGCTGTGTCTCCAGCCCTGAGTAGGTAGTGTTTTAGCTTGTTTTATTGTTAGAACAGCTCTTGAGTTAATTAGTGCTGCTTTCTAATTCATTAATTTCTGCTTTTACCTTTATTAATTCCCTCCTTTTATTTTTTAACTTAAGTTGGCATGTTTATTTGTTCTGTTTTCATGGATATAAGTATTTACAGCTACACTTTCTTCCTGAGCCTTGCCTTAGCCATGAACCATTGGTGTTACTATACCATTTCATGATTTTTTTATGTTTTTTAAATTCTGAAACATGGTCTCTCGATGTAGTCCAGGCTAGCCTCAAATTTGTGATCCTCCTGCCTCAGCCTCCCAAGTGCTGGGATTGCATCATGATTTTCATTTGAGAATTCCTGCAATGTCTAACTCAGAACTAAGAAAGGTTTTTAATTTTAGTTTCTAAATGGGAGACATTTTGGGGGTTTTTTGTGGGGGTTCTGATGCTGAGGATTTGTACTCAGAGCCTCATGCTTACTAGGAAGTGCTCTACCAACTTGAGCCACACCATCACCCCAATATTTTTGGTTTTGATATATTAGCTTCTACTTTACATCATGATCCTAACGTTTGTACTCAGGTTTTTCAAATCTAGAGTTTTCCATGGCCTATCATAGGGTAAGCATTCACAAGTACTCCATGAGCATTTGGAAGATCATGGTCTCATTTTGCAGAGTACAGAGGCCCCATCCCTCCCCCATGCACTCTTCCCCAGCCTAGTGCAATTCAATCCTATCCCTTTGTAAGGTGCTACCCTTGCACCCCCAAAGCACTCCTGTGTCTGGGGGCTCCAGGTACACTGCTCTCTGGACCTTGGATACCCTCCCCACTGTTTCACCTGACAAATACCACAGCAACAGGAAAGCCCTCTGCTCACAGAAAGCCTCTGACTCCTCCACCCTCTAAACACTCTGGATCATGCACCAGTCATTGCTCAGTTGTCATTGCTCTTCTTACCTCTGGAATCAACCACTGAGTCCCTGAGAGCAGGGATCCAATCCCCAGCACCATGCCCAGTGGTTGCTCACTGGCACTGGATCAGAGCCCACTCCTGCCAGCCTCAGCTCTATTGCTGCTGGAGTCTCCTGGGTTTACCCTATGTCACATGCCCATCAGTGCCCATCTCACATACCCTATCCCTGAAGTGCTGCCCTCGGTCCCCTTGCCTGGCACATGCAATCTATTACCTCTTGGGCTTCCATCTTGGCTCAGATTCCCACCCAAGTAGCCTGCAGCCCCTGCCCCCACCCCACACAGTGGCATATGTAATGGGGGACTGCTAGTTGAACACCTGGGGAGCAAGGTCAAGGCCACTGCCAACCCCATACTTACGTGACTAACATTGTCAGTGAGAAGTGAGACACAAAGCTGGTGACACCCTCACCTGGGTACAACTATGGAAGGAGATGAAGACTCAGACCCCAGAACCAAGTACCAGAGAGGAGCAGGATCCCCACCTGGACAGCAGGTAGTAGAGAGGAAGGGTAACCTTTTCCAGGGGAGGCAGGCAGTTCCTTAGCCATGGCCTGAGCCTGCTGCCCTCTCTCCCTCAGAGCCCCCAGGCTCCCAGGCCCAGCCCATCGTGGGCACCAGCAGGCTTACCCGGGAGGATCTCATTCCAGTTGACCTTGATGTACCGGTCCCGGTCGGCCCGCGCATGCTCATGCCAGAAGCCCAGCACATGCATGAGCTCATGCAGAACGATACCATGACCCTTCCGGAGACAGGCAGGTGCCAGGGACACCACCTGCATCCCTCCACTGCGCCCCACACCAGAAAAACACCTGCAAAACCATACAAGTGGGCCAGCTGGGCACCAGCCTAGAAAGGGCTAGAGCAGGCCCTCTCCTCCCTCAAACGCCTAGGGGAGGTGGACAGCAGACAGGCAACCCACATCCTGGACACCAGCCCAAGTTTGCTGCCACCCCAAACCCCGTGACTGCCTGGGCTTCTGTGAAGTGGGTATAATGAAGCCTCCTTACCAACCAAGGCAGCCAAGAAGAGGTTTGCCTGATATTAACACGTACAACAGAAGCAGTTGAGTGAGTGGGCTCCCACCGTAAGTTCCAGGTCAAAGATTTCATACACATTATCTCAGGCCACTAACAAGCTAGGACACAAGTGTTCCCACCACCTCCATCTCAGAGGGAAAGCAGAAGAGGATCAGAAGTTAAGGGATTCACTTGGACTCAAATGACACATGCATTGTAAACCAGAGCCCAAGACTTACCCATAAAGCCTCCTGGGAGATAAGACATTTGTGAACTGGGGTCCAGCACCCAGTACCCAGTCCTTCTCCACCTTTGGCCCTGCATGTCCTGCTTGTGAGCAAGCCACTCAGGGTGCCAGGGGGAGCTTGAACCCAGGAAAGTAGGCCCAGAAATAAGGTTTAGACCCCATCATTGTTCATTCTGGGCTAAACACAGAAGGGGAAACACACATGCACCCCACGAGCACTCACCCCAACATGGGGATGATGGAAATGAAGTCTCTCTGGCCCTGGTGGGCAACAAACCGGATGCACGTGAAACGTTCAAATTCAGCAAATGCTTGCAGGATGACCTGGCGGCTGGGCTCATCTAGGAAAGATATCCCAGCTGACCCCCTGCCAAAGCCCCAGAGCTCTTGTGGTCCTTTGAAGTCAGCCTCAGGTCTGGGACCAGGACTTCCAGCTCACTCTCCCAAAATAGTGTCAAGAGAGGACAGCACTGGGGAGGAAGGCTGAGCTGCAGACAGGCCCTAACTGGGTGACCATGGAGCCTGGAGAAGACCAGAAAGTCCCCATCAGCTCTTCCAGGATTTCAACCCTCCTGGCTCGGGAAGCCCTGGGAACGGACAGACCTCTGTGAAGGGGGTCTTTTGGTAGGACGCGGTTGGGGGTGGGTGCTACAAGAAAAAGGAAAAGATCACCCCAGAAAGGAGCCTTGCATGAGGAAGAAGGCCCGCATCAGGGAGGGAGGCCCTACCACATACTCACTCACCATACTTGGTAGAGAGCAGAAAGGGGACCTCCACGACGCCACTAGCGCTTTTGGGCCACTTGCTGTTGGTCACCGACAACAGTCGGAAGGGGCTCTGAGGAGAGAGTACAGCTTGGGGACCTCAGAGGACACAGAGCACCCAAGCTTCATTGCCCCACGGCGCCTGCTTTAGACCACCAGACTGCTAAAGATGTGAGAGATGGGGAGGGGGGCGGAGGAGGGGAGACCACTAGAGAGGGAATGGAAGCATGGAAATTTCAGCCATATGAATCATGATACCCACCACACAATCCTTCAGTCTAGGATGGCACAGAATGTATGGTACATTCTATCAAACAGATAAAAGATTGGTCCCAAGGTCACCCAGTGTCTACTACAGAAGAGCTCAGAGCTCTAACTGGCAGCCTCACACCAGCACCTCAGCAAAACAGAGCCACTTTGGAGCTTCCCTGAATGTGGGAAGAGGGCAGAATAGGGTCCTATTCACACTGATGTCCTTGCTAAGGCTTCTTTCTCCATTCTTCCCCAAACCAGAACTCTGAGGTATAGCTTCACAGCTCCCAGCAGGTCCTGCCCCAACAGCCACCAAAGGCTTGACTTATTCTGCTCTGTGGGGGTCATGTGACCACCTCATCGAGGCTCTCACTTGATAAACTGGAGCAATAGCCTCACCCTGCCCCCAAGATCCTGCATAGCCCCCTTGGTCACCAGCTCTCCAGTTCAGCCATGGAGGTGGGAAAAGGGACTGCAATCCAACAGGATAGTCCTATTTTCCAGTGGGTCACTGTCCTATTCAGAGTCTTCTTCCACCCTCCACTTGCCTAAAATACGGTGCTGCTCTCCTAAACGACGTGTTCCCTCTCCACCAGCAAGTCACCACAGTTCCCACAAGCCTCCTTGCTTCTGACTCACTCTCACCTCCTCACCACCACTACACCAAAACAGTCTCTCCATGTTATTCCTGGTTCATCAAGGCCACCCGAGCCCTTCACCCTCTCCCAGCCACTCCGCCAGCCTGGCTCATGTCTCCCAAAATCCCTATCCCCATGTACCCTGGGCAAGGCAGCAATCGGTGTTGGGAGGGCTCAACCCCTTCCTCCAGGAAGCCCTCTCAAACTGATAACATTGTCACTTTAGCTATCTTCCTCCATCAGTGTTCATGCTGCTTATTCCTATAGAAGATTCACCCTGCCCTTGACCAAAAAAAAAAAAAAGTGCCTTGGAAAAACAAAGACAGCCCTTCCCTATCAAACACTTGTGACAACCTAGGCATGGGCTCAGAGGGCTCTGTCAACAGCATGAGGCTACTCACACCCACACATGCACACTCACTGGTCGGATGATGTCCCCCTCCACAAGGAAGCTGCCATCTGGGGTTTCCTCTGGGATGAGCCCTGGGAAGGAGGCAGGAAGGGATGAGTATTGACCTGAGCCCGCCCGGCAGAACACAGACTATAGGGACAGGCCCAGCAAGCCACTGTCTGTGCTCCCTTCTGCTTTCTAGCTAGAGGTTTCCTGAGCACTGAGGGTGTGTGCCCTTGGGAGAAGGGAGGAAGATGGGGGAGGGGACAGATAATCACACAGCTCTTCTGAGTCCCAGCCTACAAATGCTGGCATCTGTCCCTGCCAAAACAAGTCCACGGCTCCCACAACCCATGTGAGCCACTTCCAACTCCAGATCCCCTTCTGTCAGACAGCAGCCTCCTCTTCCAGCTGGCTTCTCCACCCCAAGTCATGTTCCTCACAGTAAGCCCTGGGCTCTCATGCTCCACCTCATCCCTGTCTGATCCCCGCCCATCTGTGTTACATTTGGGACCCTTGAGGTGCCAAGGGACAGAAATCCCAACTCACACCACTATAGAAAAAGAGAGCAAGCACTGGCCTGGCAACACTACCCCATCCCCCATCTGCTTGTCACTGCTTCTCATCTTTTCTTCTGCAAGTGACATATGGAGATCATGGTCTCGGGAAGAGCCAGGAGACAGTGAGGGAAGAACAGAGGCTCCACCTGATCCCATGAGAGTTCTGTACCACAAATGGCACCACAGATTTGTCCCTCCTATACCTTCTGGGGAGGGAGTAGCCAACTGGGCATTTCTGGCTAAGATCACTCCCTTTGATCAAAGGCCAGTCTCAAGAACCAGGGACAGCTGGTTGGCAGCCATCACTCACAGCAGCTGGAGTGGGCCAGGGCTTCTCAGCAAAGGTCATTAGGCAGGGAGTGAGCAGCATTAGCTACTACCATGGGCTTAGATGTTGGGGCCACCAGCATGGGAGAGTCTTCTCCATGGCATCTGAAAGTCAATGCGAGGGAGGAACCATTGGTTCTGGCTACCTCCAGACCACTCACAGTGACCAGAGCAGGGACTGGGGCCTGGATCACAGATTAGCAGGGACTGGGGCCTCTAGCAAGCTCACAGAGAAAGAAGGAGGCAGATCCCATGGTGGCCCCTGCAGCCAATAGATCCCAACCCCAGGGCAAGATCCCCCCTGTTCCCCCACCACTTCAGCCTATGATACTCCAACACTGGAGTTCCAGTCTTCATTTCTACCAGCTGTGGCACAGCTGAGGTCCTCAGGCATGTAGCTCCAGCCTGATCACACCTGTAAACTATCCCTCTCAGAATGGCTGACACATTCTCAAATACTTACTGAAGATTTAGCTCAACACCCAAGCTCAGAGAGCCCAAAGACCTCTCATGAGACCATTTTTTAAAGACAAGTAGTCTTTCATATAAAAATGACAATCCACCAGAAAAATAGATTGAAGCATTTGCCCATGGACCATCTGCCCCGTTAAGAGGTCACTGAGGAAGCTGAAACATTTTCTTTCAGCCTTTTCTGCATGTCCAAGTGTTCAGTGTGGTCTTCACATCACATGACAGTGTCCTTCTCCACCAGAAGGATGACATAGTGCCCTCACCTTGGTTAATTGCAGGGATGTCCTTGTCCCAGGACTCCTGGCTCCCCTCAAGGGTGAGGTCTTCTGGGACACTGGTACTGCAGGCTCCTGCACATGTGAAGGCTGAGAGTGCTCCTATGATCAAATCTGGGTCAGACAGGTTCAAACACAGAGCTGCCCAGAGTGCCACACTGGCGAGGCAGCACAGCAGGGCCATCAGCCCCTTCAGGAAGAGGCCTCCAGCACAAGTCCTAGGGGACTACTCAGCCCCACCTGGTGACAAGGCTTAGACAACTTCAAGGAAGGAGGTCCCTTCAACAGATTAACACTTGGTTCAAAAATGTGCGTGCTGCACATACGAGGTAGAAGAGAGGGAAGGAAGGAGGAGAGGCAGAACAGACCGTGGGTCTTCACACTGTTGGTCAGTCTAGGACTAACCTCAGTCTCTGTTCCTTGACTCCCTTTCTCATCCAGGCTTTTGGAAAATGACCTAAGCCTGGGTGACTCCTGCCCAAGCCAGGCTGGAGTGGAGACCCCCCCACACACACACACACATCCCAAAGCAAGATCTAGAGCAGAACACCTTCTCTCTGGTGCCAGCCAGGCCCTCTCCTCCCAGGCTTTTCAAAAGCCCTCCTCCTCATCTCCTAGAAGCTGCCTTCTAGTAAAACTTCTAGAAAGCCCCATAATGAGCCAGTGAGCTCAGTCAAGGGCACTGCAGGTCCAGCCACAGCCTCCTGGCCTCTCTCTGATGCCCTGGGGCTGGAGTCAGCTTACCTGGCAAGCAGAGCAGAAATAGTACACAAGGCCAGAGGCCTGCCATGCTCCTCAAGGTGAGTGCCCCTACCCCTCAGTAAGCAAGAGGACTAACCTCTAGTGGAACAAAACAGCCTAATTGCAGACTTAGTCCCATCCACCTCCTTAAATAGCAGCTTCGCCAGCCCCCACCTGCAGCCTCCCAACACCTCCACTTGCAACTTCCAACATCTCCACCTGCAGCCTCCACCACCTCAACCCCCTACCACCTCCACTCCCTACTACCCCCCCATACCACCTCCACCTTCAGCTCCTCCCTGCTGCCTTCACCTGTAGCCTCCCAACCACCTCCACCTGCAGTCCCTCCCAATAACCCCCACCAGAAACCTGCCCACCCCTACCTCAGACTCCCAGCCCCAGCCCAGCCCTGAGCCTTCTGCACCCTTGTCTGAACTCACCCTGGCTGAAGTAGGTGAAAGATGGGAGGGGCCATAAAAGTCACCCTGAGGGCCCTCTTTGCAAGTGTGGCTCCTCCAAGGTCCCTTCTTACCACCAGAGGGCAGAGAAGCATTGTAGAAAGGTACTCTGGATAGGGTTGAGGCCCCAGCACTGGGAAGGACCTCATCCTTCAGCTAGAAGTACCCCTTTTCCTGCCCCACGCTATTCACAGACCCACCAGCCCCTTCCCTGTGTACCTATGGATGGAGGAAAAGGTCACCTCATCCTTATAAGCTTTTATTTTAGTATTCATATAGAAAAGTGCATAATCACAAGTGCAGGGCTCTGCGAAACTTCTCACAGAACATTCCTGTCACCAGCACCCAAAGAAGCCTCCCACATGGGAAGAGTGGAATTTGTGGACACTCAGACCCTCATATGTACACTATCTCTCTGTCCACAACAGCCTGGCACCAGCATTTATTCCCATTCCACAGATTTAGAAACTAAAGCTCCTTATCTACCTTCTTATGTCACAGCTCTGTCACCCAGGGGCCCCACCTGGATTGTCATCCTGGACACAGATGGGCCTCCATCCTCCATCCTCCTCCTGCCCAGCAATGGACAGGATTTGGGAACCAAATCCACCACGAATGCCAGTGAAGGAAAGCGACAGAGCCAAGGACACCAGCTATTATCTACAAGGGCCTCTCAGTGTTCCTGCAGTGCCTGGAGTCCAACCTTTCTCAAGAGACAGAAATCAGAGTCACAGGGAAAGGGGGATGAAAGCAGATGGCCCTGTCGCCTGGGAAGCATATTGACATGTGTCAGTGCATGCAATGGATATGCTAAATAGCTTGGTTGTGGGAATCATCTCACTAGATATTTATATATATATATATCACGTTGTATGTATCATGTTGTACTTGAACATACACGGTTTTTGTCAGCTATACTTAATAATGCTGAAAAAATAAAATATGATCCACAAAATAAAATTTATGGGGGTTGGAGGTGTGGCTCAAGTGGTATAGTACCTGCCTAGCAAACCTAAAGCCCTGAGTTTAAACCCCATATCACCAAAAGCCAAAAAAAAAATGCATGGAGCCACATAACATAAATGCTTAGTGAAAGTATTAAAGTAATGGTAATAATAATCTCTTTGCTTGGGTAGAAAATAGATTCTTGGTTAAGAAATGCAGTGTATCAAGAATATTCTGTTAAGTGAACTAAGCCAGTCACAAGAAAACAAGTACTATATGATTCCACTTACTGAGGTCCCTAGAGTGGAAACTTCATAGACAGAAGGTAGAAGAGAGGTCACCCAGGTGGAGGAGGGGGGTGGGGAGTTAGTGTTCAGCAAGTAAATGGAAAGTTCTAGAGACCTGTTATACAGCACTATGAATATATCTAACACTGCTGAACACTTGAAATGGTAAAAGTGATAAATTTTGTTATGTGTTTTTTAATTACAATTAAAATTTAAGAATAGCTGAACACCGATGGCTCACGTCTATAATCCTAGCTACTCAGGAAGCAGAGATCAGGAGGATCTCAGTTTGAAGCCAACCTAAACAACGTTCACAGGACTCTACCTTGATAATACCCAACACACAAAAAAAGGGCTGTCAGAGTAGCTCAAATGGTAGATCACCTGCCTGGCAAGCATGAGGCCCTGATTTCTAACTCTGGTACCACCAAAAAAAAAAAAAAATTAAGAATAAACAGAGAGGAATGACATGTGTTTGGGAAACTAACCTTTAATATGGGAGGGAAGGGTGAGATAGGACAGAGGTGAGGTGTACCGGGCAGAACCCTAGCCATTAGTCCTGCTGTTTGTGAGATGAGATTGTATGGAGGGAAGTGTCTGATGACTCTGGGCCCCAGATGGCTCCATCCACCCGAAGTTGGATGTAGGTCCCAAGAGAAGCCTGTGTAGGACCTGAGGAAGGCTGGGAGCAACCCCAGCTCTGTTCAGTCCTCCCTCAGAGCATCTCACCCTACCTCAAAGAGCAGAAGGAACAGGCCCTGGGGACAGGCTGTGTATCCTTCATTCAGTCTGAGAGAGCAAGCGCCTACCTGTGCCAGGCACCAGGTACAGGTCTGAGTGGTCCCATTCAGATGCATACCTGTACACCATACAGCCAGAAAACATTGCTCCTAGAAGCCCTCTATGTGGGCTGGCGTGTCTAAGTCTATACCCTAAGAGGTAGGGTTGATGAGCCCCATTTTACATCAAGGAAAACTGAAGTACCAACAGTGAGAAAAATGGGGTCCCTAATGATCAAACCACACTCATCCCACCCAGGACACCCTGCCAGACACTCAGAATGCAGCTTCAGTGGAGGCAACCCTTGAGTGAGTCTAGAAGAACAAAATGGTGTGAACTGTCTGACACCACGTGGCCAGGAGCGTCGCTAAGTTTCCAGCACAGCCTTCACCATGGGTTTGGCAGCCCCTCACGGGCAGATCCCAGCACCCCTCTGCTTCGAGCTTATGGTAGACCCACATTTCAGTCTCCAGACACGAGTCCTGTGCTGGGCACTTACCTAATATTTCATGAGGACACATTAGTTGGGTGAGCACATGAGCAACTAATCCCTAAGTAGCATGTCCTCTATAGCGGAACACATGCCTTTGGGGACGAGGGACAGCTCTAGAACAGGGCCTGTCACGAGCCACAGCGTGGAGAGGTGCACTGAGGCCTGAGGACCCAGCACGAGGACACAGAGGAGTTGACACTATGCTCCCCTCTTGTGAAAAAACAGTCCCGGCTAATCCCCCCACACACAGGATCGTGGGAGAGCTTTGCTCAAGGGCACACGTGGCCGGTCACACATGGTTACACACATTCCCCAGGATCAGCCACACGTGAGGGACATACACTCCCACAGGAATGGCCACACACTGGGGCACACACGTCCATCCTGCACATTCCAAAAGGGAAGTGGGGTCCAATGGAGGCAGCACTGGGGCCTTCAGAGTCCTGGACAGCTGAGCCAGCCTCCCAAAACTCACCCCTTTCAGCTCAGGAGCCAGAACCTGTCTGAGAAAGACCCCAGCCTAGGATGGAACTTGGGCCTTCACTTCTCAGACTCTGCCTACAAACCTTCTTCAGGCATGGATTTGAGACCAGACACTTGGGGAACTGTTGTTTTTTTAAACAAAACAATATTTTATTGACACATCCTCAATGTTCTGTATAAATATAAAGTGCTAAGTTTCCAACCCCTGGCCCGCAAGACTGGGAGGAAGTGGGGGAGGGAGTGTTAAATGTCAATTGAACACAAATAACTTTCCAGCACCAATAGGCGAGAGGTGCTTGCGTACATACACACGTAAGCAAGAGGTCTGTAACACATCACTTCCCCCGAGTTCCTGGCTCCCCCAGGAGCACAGGGTTTGGGCTCCAGGCCCCGGGGTGACACCCCTAGTCAGGGCTCCTGGTTGTCACAGCTTGTTCCTTGGGTCTCTCAGGCTACCAAGACCTTCAATATGGCAATGGGACCAGAGAGTCCACAGATTTGGAGTCCTGTTAATTTCTGCCAGAGGAGGGGACAGGAGAAGATATGCCCTCTGTCCTTGTCCCCTGAATAAAGGCCTGCCCTTAAACACCCAGCAGAAAAGCACCAGATCAGAAAGGCCAGCATCACTTCCCAAATGAGGGGATAAGCTAGGCCAGAGTGGAGCCCACCTGTCCAGTCCGCTCCCCCCAGGAATCAGTGAGAGCCAACACAGTGGGCCTTGCAGGCAGAGGGGCCTTGCCTCAGTGACACAGCACCTGGGTCTCAAACTGCAACAGTTGCCCCATGAAACTGAAGTTGGGGGAGATGACTCCCCGGCGTTGTTTAACAAAGTCAAAGGCCTCATCCAGCCGGACCCTGCGGCTCTGTATCAGGTATGCTAGGCATATGGTGGCAGAGCGTGAGATACCCGCTTGGCAGTGCACCAGCACCCGGCCGCCACTGTTCTTCACGGAGTCTGCAAGGAAGATGAGAGGCAGGAGTCAGTCAGGAAGCTGTACAGAGGTTACAGGTGATCTCAACTCTCCTGCAGCTCCTCTAAACCCTGCACTGAGGCCCCCTTACCAATGAAGCCGATGGCCTCCTGGAACCAGGCACTGATTTCCACCATCTGGTTATCCTCAACAGGGATGCTCTTGTAGCGGAAGAGGCCCTCGAAGTGGTTGGGGCAGCTAGAGGAGACGTTGAGGACGGCCGTGATGCCACAGGCCTGCAGCCCCTGCAGGTCTGAGGAGTGGCTGCAGCTGCCCAGAAACAGGTAGGGCAAGATCTCCACAGGGCCACCCTGGAGGAGAAAGGGACAGTGGTGAGACCTTCTCAGCCATTGCCTGAACAGGTAGACACTATGGGCTGGCCAGGAACAAGAGACTTCAGCCAATCATCCTGACCAAGGACAATAATTTGAGGACACAAGGGGACACACATGCCCTCTCCTGCCTCAAAATATACATACACATGAATGTGACATGAACAGTCTGCTGGCTTTTTCCCTAGAGGCATCCATCTAGTACGGAAGAGGAAGGCAGTAGGAAGACAGTGACAAAGAAATCCTGATCTTAACTCACCTGGTCATAGATAGGCACTCTAGGGTCAGAACTGTTCTTTTCAGGCCCTGCAAGGGGTAGTGCTGGGGCTGGGGCTTCAGAGCACAGATCGGGACAGCAAGCCTGGAAGCCGTCGAAGCCTCCTGCAGAGAGGGGTAAAGGCACGGTTAGTTGAGGGCTGAGCTGGCTGATCGTGGGATCGTGGGCTGGAGGCGCAGGCGCTCACCTCTCAAGAAGCTCACGACAGTGGGCCCGGCACGGGTCTCGTGTAGCAGCGCAGTGAGCAGCACCTGGGCCGGGCTATCGGGTGGGAGATCGGCCACCGACGCGCTGCCTTCGTCCAGCACTACGGCGCGCGCCAACTCCCCGCGGGCCAGGCGCGCCCGCAGCGCACGGTCGGGCAGCAGGCAGGCGAGGGCAGCGGCGGGCGGGCCGCGCACGCGGCGCCGCAGCAGCGCGTTCCAGGGCACCGGCCGGGCGGCCCGCACATGGCGCCGGCAGAAGGCCAGGAAGGGGCGGCAGTCAAGCAGCAACGTGCGCTCGGCTTCCCGCGGCTCCCGCAGCAGCGCGCCCAGCTCCGCGCTCTCCAGCTCGCACGCCGCCTCCAGCCCCATAGCGATCGGCATCACGCAGCCTCCTCCGCCCGCTCTCCCTTCGCTTCTTCCTCTTCTTGCTTCGGGTGCTCGCCTTCGCCTTCTACGGCTCCCGTAGCAGTCGCGCAGCCCCAACTATTGGCTCTGGGCGCCCTCTGCGGCTCCTGGGCTTAAGTACTCGTGGGCCGGCCCCCCCTCCCCGGGTCACCATACAAGGGCAGAGCAGGAAGGCGCCGGCGCCCGCCCCCGCGACCTCACGTGGGGTGCAAGCTAGGTGGCCTCGGGGCTACCGAGCAGGCTGGGGAGGGGACACCCCGGGGAGGAAACCCCGGACCAGGTCCTAGGGGAAGGTGTTCACTGAAGTCTCATACGTCCCCTCCGAAATCTTTGCGTCCCAGCCGGAAAGAGCGCTCCCCACATTTTGCGGGCCCCAGGCTCCTGAGGGCTTGGGAACTAAGCTTCTCTGAAGCATCTACCCTTCTGGTCAATGAAGTCCCCGTTTCCTCTCCTTTTCCCCTTCTCTCCCAGGATTTTCCTGTCTCTCCCCTCCCCCCCTTCATAGCAAGGATGAGACCAGCACTCAGGTTGGTGGCCATGCTAGGCCAGAACATAGTCCCCTGAACCCAAACCCCAGGGCCCTGGCATAAGAGTGATTGAGGAGAGTCTGGGGGCCTTAGGGGAGGGCAAGGATCTGTGACGAGTTTCCAGTTATGAGTAGGCCAAAGCTTCTCCCCCAACCCTCCAGGGCCCAGGGAAACTCCCAGGGGCCCAGAGAGAAGCATTTCCCCATGTCACCGGCAAGGCCTGAAGGGGAACTCTGCTGACATGATGCTGGGTCTTCCGGGCTTTGTCTGGTGGGAATTTCAACGGAAGAGGGAGAACCACGATCAGAAGCTCCCTCCTCCACTACCCCCTCCCACCCCATCAGAGCCTCACACCCTTCCCTGGGGGCAAGGCCCCCACCCACACTAAGCAGTAAAAACGCACAGCCATTTGGCCCTCCCCCACCCCAGCACCAGCCTGGGTGCGGATGTGGTGAGGTCCAGGTGTGCCTGGGGGGTCTGGGCCCCTGGGCTGGGGGCAAGAAATGTTGGTAAGTGACTGAACTTTGAAGCAGAGAAGTTCAGGGGGGTGGGGCAGTGTTCTTGGGCCAAACTACAGAAAGTCTCAGCCCAGTTCCCCATCTTCCTGAGTCATTCCTCTGTGCCTTTCGTGAGATCCTTTCCGCTCCCCAGCTGTGACCCTAGTACCTTGTACAGCCACAGCTAGGCCCTGGGTAGCCCCAACACCACAGAAGTCCATGCGTGTGTATGTGTTGGAGCATAATATATGCACGGTGGGTCTATGTTCCACACGGAGTTTGTACACAGAGGCTAGATACAAAGGAGAGAAACCTAATGACTCCAAAGATTCCTGGGCCAAATCACCCTCTAGTGCCCCAGTATCCCCATCTGTAAGATGGGAGCACATATTGGTCATAATGGTCCTACATTGGTTCCAAGGCTATGAGCCTGCATCATAGCCTGGATCCCTGCAGCTGGAGTCTAGTCCCTCCCTACCAAGCCAATCTGGAGGCTGATGCAGCAAAGCCCACAACAGAGTCGGAGAGTCTAGGCCACTGATCCCAGAGGCTGATAGGGGATCTTATCCTTGGCATCAGCTACACAAATGACTTAATGGCTGAGTCCAGGGGCAAATTACAGAGCATGCAGAAGATCATCAGGTCCAGTCTTGCTGACCAGTGGGGCCTGCGTCACCTGCCATGCTCGGAGCCACAGCCTTCTAACTCCTGAGGGGAGCCTGCTGCAGGAGGGAAATCAGCACGGCTGGGTTGGAGACTAACCTAGAGGACACATGCTCCTGGCAGGATGGGAGTGCAGTGCTGAAGGTTTGTCCCATTGTACAGTCCCTAGGGCCCTGCTCGACACAGCATCTATGTCACCTCCTCAATGTCACTGTTTTTGTAGCTGGCTGCCTCCTTTGTAGCACCTCTGGAACAGACTCAAGGAGGCTTAACTTTATAGCTGTAAAGGAGGGGCTTTCTTGGCTACCTTCTCCTAGTCTCAAATTGGGGAAACCCCCACTCCTGGGTGAAAACCCAAGGTTGGGGTAGAAGAGCTCGTAACCTTCCCCCGCTCTGACTAAAGCTCCCTTGGGTGCTGCCATGGTTGAGTCATGGTGCAGGATGTCTGCTGTCCCCTTGCCACCTCCTCAGGACCACCAAAACTGATCCTTGAGAGTAGGGCACCCAGGAAGGGCTCTGGACACACACTGGAGGACAGTGTGAAGGAGTTCCAGATAGATTAGGCATCCCACATGCTGCTGGTTCTGGAGGGAGGACCCCACTCTTCATCACTAGATGGTAAAAGGATTGAAGCGGGACTTTTTCTAGTTTTGGATTTTTCCTGACATGTCTGTTACAAAACAGACTCTATCGAGTAAACTTGGGGCTCAGCTTTCTTTTTTTTTTTTTTTTTTTTTTGCTTCAATTAGAAACAGGTGGAGCCAGACATGGTGGTGCACACCTGTAATCCCAACACTTGGGAGGCTGGCAGAAGGATCTTGAGTTAGAGGCCACCCTGAGCTATATAGCAAGACTGTCTCAAAACAAAACAAACAAACAAAAAACTTGTGAGACTTAACTGGAACAAATGATAATTCTCTGTGTTATTCTTTTCTGTAACCATCTATTTGGACAGCTGCTTAAGCATCACTCAGCTTCTGCCTTTGGGAATCTGGTTTGTCCAGTCGGCCCCCATGCAAAATGGTTTTCCCCTCCACAAGCAGCAGGCCCACTCCCTTGCTCTGCTCCAGGCTGATAGTGCCTTGCACTTTCCTTACTTCTTCCAAACCCAACCCCAAGCAGTTGCCCTGAGGAAAGAGGGAGAAGTGAGTGGCTTGGCTAAGATGTCTGGGCCAGAGTGATGAGTGAAGGACCACCCCCAGTCCTGTCTGAGGAGTGAGTCAGAGATGACGTCAGGTTTCCTGTGCCAGGCTCCTGACCAGGGCACTACATGGTGTCTACCCCCACAGGCTCCTGCCTGGCGAAGACCCAGAACGTTGGGCTTCAGTGACAGCCACTCTGCCACAATAGCCTGTCTAGCACAGTGGAGAGAACAGAGGGTCACCTTGGGCATCCAGTCTCCTCCTGGGGAAGGTAAAGCAGGAAGGACCTAAGGTTGACTTAGAAGTGGATAGGTATGTGGGTGAAGGGGCTGGTGTCTGCTCCCACACACATGCATCCTGTAATTGTGTGTGTGTGTGTGTGTGCACGTGTGTGCAGAAGCACATGTGGGCGGCTCTACAGAGGAAGCACCCCTAGACACAGAGGGGCTCCCTGTAGGGGGCCCATCCCTCATGCTGAAGGTGGACAAGGGGGACCCTCAACACATCTGGCCCTGACACACTGTGTGTCACCGAAGCTCTGGGTCCCCTCATGTGCACCCAGCCAGAAGCCAGGGGGTATTCTGCAGCCTAGAGGCAGCATCAAAACAAGGCTCAGAAGAATTCTGACTCATTCAGGGAGGAAGTGCTGCCTCCTTCAAATCCCTTTCAGTCAGTCCTTCTGAATATATCAAGAGGAAAGTTTCCATGTGAGGCTGGCTAGTTTAACACCTAACATCTGCTTGTCCTCATTTTGAGAAGCCCAGCACTTTCCCCAAGCATCCATGGCCAGGTCTTTCATTCCCTTCTGCACTTCAGCCCTTCACTCATGACATGCATTACATAACTCCCACCGCTGCCCAGGAGCCAACCTCACTCTTGCAGTAATACTCACCTTCGTGATTACGTTGTATTCAAGGCAAGTGATACTAGTTATTCACGTACAGTGATGATTATCTTTCCTTTTAGAATAAATTTTAGGTTTGTAAAACTTGAGTTGACTCGAGGAAGGCTATTAGATAAATAATAGTATGGATGGTGCCCAAACATCTTAAAAGTCATGATGCAGGTCGGAGACGCTGCGGTTGCCCAGAAGGGACCCTCCCAGCCCCTTCCAGCTTTATCAAGCCCTTCTGAGTAGTAATGGGAGCTCAATGCAGCTTTCTCAATTCTTGTGTCCTGAAATCAAGATTTCAGGCAAGATGTGGAACACTAAAAGTAATAGTGGAGTTTGTAAGGATAGTAAAGCTTATTAGAATAGAAAAGTCCATTTCAGAAGTGAAAGTGGAGCCCGGGGCTGATGGCTCATGCCTGCAGTCCTAGTTACTCTGGAGGCAGAGATCAGGATGGTCGCAGTTTGAAACCAGCCAGTACAAACAGTTCAAGAGACCCCATCTCGAAAATACACAAACAAAAAGGGCTGGTGGAGTGGCTCAAGGTATAGGCCCTGAGTTCAAACACCAGTACCACACACACAAAAAAAGTGAAAGTGGGTCATCTCCGAGTGACCCTCACATACACACCAGCACAGGCTTTATTGAAATTTAAGGAGCTTGGAGTGGCAGGACCCAGACAGGACCAGCCTACAAGGAGTGATTGTGAAAGAATTACAACATGTCTCAAGAATCACTCTGTGCACGTGATTACCCATGACCATCTAAGAAGAACCCACTGTGAGGGGGAGAAAATTGAAAAGTATAATGAAATTATAATGATGTAATAGGCAAAAGGCAACTCTCCTCAAAGTAGCCCACTTGAATCTGTGTAGTCCAGAACTCGTTTTTCATTTGGCACTAGGTGTAGAAGACATAACGGTGTGTACACATTCTAGAGCAAGATTGATCTTGGGGATCAATCTCTCCTCTTCCCTCTCTGTCATATCAGGGGTCCCTTTTATGTTTTGCAGATGTTCTACAAGGATATGGAGCCAAAAGCTTAGGGCAAGAAAAGACCAACTTGCAACATGTAAGCAAGCAGCCCGAGAGAGAGAACGGGGCTCTCAGGAACCAAGGATTCTCCATTTTAGGTTCCCTTTGCATGTCCCCGTTGCTCATGTGTAACTACCACTTATCGTGTTGGGTCTGGTTCTCCTCCATGCTGCGGTCTCCCATGATGCCATGGTTGAAGGGTGAGTGGCTTTGTGACAAGAGGACACCCGAGGCACTGAGAAGAAGCCACAGCTCTAAGGAAGGGAATCTAGGAGAGCCAGGCCCAGGGCTCAGGGCCCACTCTACTGGCCTGAACTCC